CTGGCTGTCGTTGGGGCTGGGCGACAGCAGCAGCAGCCAGGCAGGGGTGCAGTGGCAGGGGTGCTGCCACCAGAAGCCCCCCCCATTCCCCTTCCCGCTCTCCTCTCTCCCTCCTTTCCTCCCCTCTTCCCTGCTGCCTCCCCCTCCCTGCCGACTGTTGTTGGGGGTGGGGGGGAAGGTGCAGGGGCTCCCTCTGTCCATAATGCTCCAGGCCCTCGCAGCCAATAGGCACAAGCCCTCTCAGCAGCACATGCACAGTTGGCCCAGAGTGTGACTGACAGACAGACAGGCAGACTAAGGCTTTTATTACATTAGAATTGTGCTGTAAAGCTCTTGAGGGTGGGAGTTGGCTAAAAGGGAAACTATGGAAGGTTAGATTGAAAGGAGAATTCTCAGACTGGAGAGATGTTACTAAAAGCACTTAGTATCCATTATTTTAATTAGTGACCTTAATGAATGAATTTAAGTGTGTACTTATATTTGTGGACTACACAAAACTGAGAATTGTTGCCAGTATGGAAAAGGATGGGATTATTTCTCTGTTATTCTAACATATAATTCTTGATAGGAAGAATTATATAACCTCAGAATCACAGAAAAATCGAACTAGAAGGGACCTCAGAAGCCAGAAACATGTCTCTCAGAATCATCCCACCCAAGTGATTGGCTAACATGTTTTTAAAAACTTACAAGGATAGAGATAACTGCTGAACAGAGCAAAATACATAGTAGGTAATGTAATGGGAAAACTTTACAGTCACATACTTGGGAGTTAGTCAAGAATTTTTGTCAGAAGATGGCAACTCGTAGACTGAAGTGAATGGAGGAAGCAAGGGCCTTCAGTGCATTCGTAAGATAACAATGAGCTGCACAGATGTGGAGAAAAAAAAGCTACAGCAATTTGACTTTATTACGCAGGTTATTTTCAGTAGAGACAAGGAAGCAGCAGTACCCTGTACCAATGTAAGAACCCATTTGCAATTCTGTGTCTAATCCTGGTCACCTATGTTCAGAAAAGTTTAAGCTGGAGCAGGTACAGAGAAGGACTACTAGGATGATTAAAGGATGAGAGAAGATTAAAAGATCTGGGTATGTGTACTTTTGCAAAGCAATGGTTAAAAGGGGATGATTACATTCATGAAGTGAGTGGTAGGGACAGAGAATAGCTATTTAAGTTAAAGAACAATACCAGCACAAGATCAAATGGATACAATCCAGTCACAAATGAATTATAAACCTGCATTTGATACCTTCCCAGAGTACACTTCACACTCTAGTAGCACAGCTGCAGACTGGATCAATGCCCACCTGCTGCTACCAGAACTTCCTACTACCAGGTATACATAGATGTAGTTGTGATTAGTTTTGTGACCCTGAAATGACCCTGGGGAGAGGGAGTTGTCTTCCAAAAGCTTGGGAAATGCTGTATTAGCTAGCAAGTCAGCAGAGAAACAAAGATCATCCACAGACCACAATGCGGCTAGTCCATAGTTAAACAAAGACCATCTATATAAGGTATGTCAAACTTTGTGCTTTAAAACATATGCCAACCAGTAACTACCTGAAATAGAGTCATTACAGAAAATCCTTCCTATGTTATTGCGCAGAACTTGGACCTTCTGATGCATCTGGCCCAGACACACACACATGCACACTCTACTCTTGTATGGTAATGATAGTAAAAGTCAGGTTAAAAATAGTATTAATATGCATGTTTCTACTTTGATTATGCGTACGATACCAAAAAAAATAAAACAGATTTAGGATATTTTTCCTGACATCTGATCTAAGAACAAACTGCATAGGGAAGTCATGGTGGCTCCTTTGGGGATTCTCAAGACTGTCTGGCATGATTTGGTGCAGGAATCACTAGTCCTAGCTGGAAGCCACACATCTGTGCAAGACTTTGGACTAGATGATCCTGGAGGTCCCTTCCCAACCCTCTGGTTCCTATTAAATAATAGTGCAAAACTGAAAGCTCATACTTACTTCTTTCTGGAAACAATGGCAATGTACACTGGTTACTCAACCACCTATAGGTTCCTCATGGCATATAAAGTCATTTTTTTAAAAAAACAGAAATCATTTTGGTGTCCTATAAACTACTGGTAGGATGACAGAGATCTTGTTCACTGCTACATAGGAGTGGCAACAACTGCTCAAGCTACCAACCACTGTTCTCTTGGGGCTTAAGTTCTATACAACCAGCTGCTTCATAAGGTTTTTGGTCCTTCAACGTGTGGGGATTTGTCAAAGTGAGGCAGTCCTATACAATAATATCTAAATATTTCCTAACCAAGTATAGGGTAAAGCCTAGCAAGAAACAAGCTTACTACATTTGCTACAGTTATCAGTACCCAGAGCCATCATCCAATGTATAATCCCAGAAGTTCCTTTTAAAGGCATCAGCAGTATGCCCTTTAAACTGTGAGATTCTCCAAACTAAGTAGAAACTTCAAAAGAAAGGAGATTAGTGGGGGTCATTTAGATATCAAAGACTTTAATATCTTCAAAGATGTTTTGGCACAGAGCCTGAGAAAACATTTTTAGAAATGGTTTGTAAACTTGCTTGAACTTATAAGACTTGTTTGACTGCCGCAGCTCGTCTATGAGGGAGGACCAAAGATATAGTAAAAATGAAAACCATCAGCAAAGCACTAAGAAAGATAAAGGCTTCTGGCAAACCTCCTCCTTCCTTTTCATGCAAGTCTATGAATATTCTTTCACTCCATCAATAAGGATGACTGCCTATCGGTGCCCTGATATCATGCATTTCTTTCTGAGACTCTTGTGCGTTATTACTGCCTTTAGCAACAATACAGAGGGATCCGAAAACGGTATAGAATTATACAGTTGAAAAGCTATCAAAAATGTTCATTATGCTCTTCTGAATTCATAGATACAACACACTGAACACTAAAAATGTTATATAAAAACTTCCCTTTATTCAAATTAAGTTACCATCTCCCTACCAAGATCTACATCATAAAAACAAACATTCTGTGCAAAATAGTTTATAAAATACTAAAACCAAGTTTTTATTGTAAAAAATAAAGTTTCTAGACATACAATCACTTTAAGCTATTGACAAATATTGTCCAGTATTTAACATTTACTTTTAATGTCACATTACATCAGACACATAAACCAGGGCTGTCCAACTTCTAAGTGACTGGGGGAGCATACCCTGCAGGCTGCCCCAGTGGGGGCTGCAGGCACCCCCCACCCCTGCAGCATTTGCACATACCTCCCCCCTCCCCAGCATCATCCTCAGTTCATCCAGTACCATGGGCTTCACTACCCCGCCCTGCTCTGCCCCCGGGGCGGGGGCAAGAAGTGGAAGCTAGAGGAGAAACAATGGGGGAGCCACAGCCAAATCCTCAGCCTGTGGGCCACCAGCTGGACAGCCCTGATTTAAAATCAATGATCCTACTGGCAAGCCATCCGTGATTGATACTTCTGGCTTTTGTGTCTGCTTTACTCTTCTTCCTATACCACCCATCCTAACACACCTTTGTGAGAACTGCAGCCTACACATCCTCTATTCAGCCTTGTATACTCATTAACCTCATAAGCCTCATACTGGGCTTAGGAATTACTCAAGCTCCATTGCAGAATAAAATACGCAAAGTTAAATGGAAGGGAGCAAACACTATCTGGAACATGGAGTCTTAGTAATGTCTATGCTGCAGTCACCAAAGTGCAGATTCCCAGAGTCAGCTTTAAACCCTGCTGAGACGCAGTGAATGTAAACCCATGCTGAACTCCAGGCAGCCACAGCTAGACTTCTACCAAGACCTGAGCTAGCTTGGTTACCTCAATATGACATTGCCATGACAGTACTGACATACCTTTACACAGGTATATTAAACAATTTCCCTAAGAAGTTGTAAATAATATAAACCCTCACTGATCCAATTCAGTTTCATTCTGCAAGGTCTTCATAGCTAAGCCCCAAAGAGTCATGCTGGAAAAGAATGGTCCTTCATTATTCCTGTATGCAGATGATGATGTTCGGTTGACCAGAGGGTCATTGTCCAGGGTTGTCATAGATGAACGAATCATGGAAATATTATCAGACTGTAGAGGTTCTTCCGCAGAAGATACATCCACTTCTGCATAAGTGTAAGGTGGCTGAAGAGTTTGCTGTGTCTGAGGTTTAGGGAGTTTAGCAGGATCCAGGCTCAGTTTCTGATGGTTTGGGTCATGGTGTTGCATTACTGATCGCAATTTGCAGTAAGATCCTGCAGTGCTGTCAAACTCATTACTTGAATTTCCAGGTGGACGAACAGGAAATTTAACTGGAACCGGTAACAAGGCAACAGACATTTCCTGGGCAAATGAATCAGAACTCTGTGATTTCTCAAGATCAGAAGCTTCAATCCCATGAGTCAGTTCATCTAGCGTGTTTGACCCCTCATCACTGGCCTTGCAATGCATTTTCTTGTGCCGTCGCAGGACAGCAGAACGAGTGAAACATTTGTTACAGGTTTCACAGGTATAGGGTTTTTCTCCTGTGTGAGTCCGCACGTGCCTGCGCAGGTCACCAGATCCTGCAAAACATTTTCCTGAGACAGAAGAAATATTTTAGATTTTGTTCATCTCAGCACATGAATATGTTTGATTAGAGAAAAGATCAAGCGTTAAGGCTGCAGAACAATTTTGAGCGTGGCATGCTCCTGTCTACTGATCCATTTATAAATTTTGTTCGCGACCCTGCTATATAGTCTTGTGACCTACTTCTTAAATATGCTCCACAACTATTGCTCTATTACAAAAGTATTATGATCAGATGCTATGATAGATTTAGTTATAAGCAGATGAATTGCATAATCCAACTTTGCATATGAACACATTTTGGAGGGAAAACTACTTTTAGTACTGTAACTTTGTTATTGCTATGAATGTTAAGATACACTAAAATATTAATCAACATCTTAAGATGCAATATTAACCTATTTTCAGTATATTAGAAATCAAAGTTAAATAAATAAAACACATATAATTATCTATGGGTGTGTGTAATAATTAAAACGGGGTCAAGTGATAAGGATGCCAATTTCTAGAACTGAGACTGATGTTATACAAAGTAATTCTAAGAAACTTGAGTCTTTAAAATAGAACTATTTAGCTTTATATAGCTACACACAGTTTACCTATATTGAATCATGTTATTGTTTGAATGCTATTATGCAGATACGTACCAAACACAAAGTGTCATCTGAAAACCTAGGAACGTATAATTAATCTAACAGCCGTTCAGTTGACTAGTCTCATTTTTAGCATTATGCTTTGGCATTCAATCCCTAATTAAAAACAAAGCAAAATATGCTTTCTGTATAGTCAATAAAATTAAACAATCACTGAGCCAATACATGCTAAACTTTTGAATATCATAGGTTATTTTTAAGAGATGGCTCTTCTTTTGAATGATCTTGCTCAGTCTAGATCCCATGCTTTCCCCTTGTGAACTGGATACCAAGAAAAGTAAACAAAAGAGTAATAAGACAAGATGAAAATAAGTCTGTCTTAAGTGGAGAGTAACTGTGTTTATGCTTGAGTCTGCATTTGATGTCATTAGATGCAAGGCTTTCTATTACAGCTTTCTTTGCTGCTAAAGGGTCCCCACAGCAAACGCAAGACTTACATAGCTGCATTTTATCATCCTGCAAATTTATTGACTTTTTCCTTGTGCTGGTGTTCTCTGAATACAGATGAATTTATACCAAAGCAACACTGATCAAAAGCAGATACTCAAAGACGAAGGGTGGTAGGGGTGTGAAATGTATTTCACATATAAAATTAGAGATGTACTGATACATCAGTCCAATATCGGATCAGTACCGACATAAAGAAAATTGGCTGTATTGGAAATTGGCCCAGTGGGGCCGATAATTAGGCCGATAAATGCCCGTATGTGTGCACAGCCACAGCGCAGCACTCAGGCAGCGAGGAGCACAGCCCGGCAGCTTAGAGAGCTGCCTCCAGCTATTAAGTCCATTGTGGTGGAAAGAAAAGGGTTGCGGGAGGGCACATCAACCCCTCCCCACCACGATGAAGGACGGGATAGAGGCAGGGGCAGGGCAGGGTGCAGGATGGACCTGCGGCTCATTGGGAAAGGCAGCTCCTGCCATAGCACGCACTCCGGGAGGACTGGGGGGAGCGTATACCCTCAGACCTGCGCAGGGTGGGGCAAGCAGGTTGCAGTTGCAGGCTGGAGCCAGGGCTGCACTAGGCTCTTCTCACCGAGGGCTGGGCTTGGGGTAGGGGCTACGGAGCAGGCTGCAGCGAGCCCAAATTTCGCTGTAGCTCTCTTCCAGTCGTGCCGCAGCCCTGGCTCTTCCTAGCTTAAACTCTGCCTCTCCCCACGCACTGGTGAGAGCCAGGGCTGCGCCAGGCATGTGTGCGACAGTGCTGGGAGGGAACTATGGTGAAATTTGGGGTGGCTGCAGCCCCCTCCATAGGCCGCGTCCCAAACCCAGCCCCCAGCAAGAAGAGCCCGGTGCAGCCCCGGCTCCAGCCCACAGCTGCAGCCTGCCCATCTGCCCAGCACAAGTCTGGGGGGTGGGGGCTGCACCCTCCCCAGCCCGTACCCTCCCAGGGTGCGCGTAGTGGCAGAAGCTGCCCCCCCCACCACAAACCACAGGTTCATCCTGTGCCCCGCCCCACCCCAGCTGGGCAGCACTTGCCCCTGCATCTGTCCCCTCCCTCACCACAGGGGCAGGGGGTTGATCTGCCCCCTCCCCACCATGCTCTCTCTCTCCCCTCCCACCACAATGGACTTACTAGGCAGAGACAGCTCTCCACATTGTATTGGAAATCAGATCGGTATTGGCCAATATGACTCCTTAAAAATCGGATATCAGCATCGGCCCCAAAAATCTCCATCGGTGTGCCCCTATATAAAATGGTTTAAATTCTCTGGAATTTCTGAGTTTCCATACTGGAGTGCACCTAGCCAGGTAAGTCCTTAAAAGAGAGGTTTTCAAATGACCCGAAAGTGCAATACATCTAACACAGCTGAAAATCACTGTGTTCTGGTATGAAGCATTGTTCGAGTAATACGTAGTAATTCAAAAGAGCATCCTCTTTTCAGAGCTGAAGTGAGGCAACTACCTGAAGGTGTAAACTGAGCACTGATCCCAGCTTCTACTAAGGTTTAGGTGAGATTCAATTTGAATGTTGCTGCCAAACTTAAAAAGCATGGAATGTGCTAGTTCAATACCCCTATGTGTTGAGAGGGAGGGAGGGTATGTTCTGCTAAGGAGGAAGTACCAGTTATTCAATTTCTCGAGCAACTATTATCAGCTTTTTTACTGAAAACCAGACTACAGCATTTAAATTTAAAAAACACCTTATTAATTTGATGCAATAAAATACGATGCTTATCACACCACAGATTATTACTCACAGGTATGCATTTATACATGTACAAAGGACCACAGCACATTGAGCTGTGTCACAGCAGCCCCAGCTGGCAGGGGACCCAGGCAATCAAGCTTGCCAGCTCGAGGCTGCTCCTCCCCGGGCTCACCGTGCTGCAGCGGGACTGCTTGGGGCACAGGGGTGCTTCAGTATGAGGCTAGCTGGCAGGTAGCCCAGCACTGTAGCACCCTTCGGCCCCAGCCAGCTGGGACAGCATTTACATGCGTACTGCTGAGGAGTAAATTAGTTTACTCCAGCCTAATAGAGATGCACAGCAGTGAGGGAGTTAAGTGACTTCACGGCTCACTATACTCTAGCTGATTCCTTCTAAACTCTTCATTCTGTAGGTGTTCCCTTCTCTCCTTTTTAAATGTCTTGATGTTCCACTAATCAAGCTAGCCTTTCTTCTGCACTTCTGTTCTCTATTAGCTGCTCCTGTCAATATGGTTCTTATTTCACAGGAGCTGCAGACTGTTCTTAACTCATTCCAATAAAGTTATGTTTGTTTTTACACCAATCTTAAACTGATTAATATAGCCCCAGATCCCTTAGCATGTTAGTAAAGATTCTAGTTTCTTTTTACCTGGAGAAAATTATGTGCTTTGTTATATGGGAGAATGCACCTTACCATCTGCATCCCCCTTTTCAAAATCATGATCCATCCATGGTTATTTCCAAGTCAAAGCTGACACAGGGAATTTCTTTTAGTTTTTACAGAAAAGAATATATTGTGAGTCTTACCACAGGCTGAACAGCTGTATGGTCTCTCTCCTGTGTGCCTAATTCTGTGCTTTACTAATTTTCTTTGCATGTTAAATGACTTTCCACACTCGTCACAGGTGAATACTTTATCTGCTGTATGGGTCTTTTTGTGTTCCTTTAAATTGCTGAAGTTACTAAACCCTGGAAAAATGTGAAAAAACTAAGATTAAGATGACTTCTCACATTTCAAACAAAAACGTTCAAGGTTGAAAAAAATTAGCTTTTACTTGCCTCTGCCACAAATGTCACACAAATGAGGTTTTTCTCCAGAGTGAATAATAATGTGACGCTGTACATCACCAGAAGCAGCAAACCTGTAACAGAATGGGGCAACACAATTAAAGTTCTTCTACAAATCCAATATTTTACTAACTATACATTAGATAGATATCAGCTATAATCCCTGATCATCACCTTAGCTAGTCTTCGCATGTCACAAAGTGCAGTCTAAAATATATAAAATGTGAGAGGCTATTAAAGGAACAGCAACACATTCAAAATATTTTTAAATAACTTGATGCCTTGTATTTCAAATGCCCTTTTTAATAATTAACTTTATTTTTCACCACCACTGACAACTTTTTTTACTGGTTGCATTTCATGCAAAAAGGCAATTTTAAGTTTGCACATCTGTCATATTTCAGTAGAAGACAGCAATAATTGGGGTGATATTCTGAAACAAAATATTTCAACTGCCCAAAATTGAATGCTTTCTTACCAGCCAGAGTTTTGTACAACTTGCTAAATTTAATTGTGGGTTTTTTTTCTTTTACAGAAGAAGTAAAGAAATGTGAATTCTTAATTTAATCTATAGGAGTCAACCTTTCTGATTTATATAAATCAACCCATGCATAAGGTAAATTAGATATTTTTAGTTAATTAGAAAGATGCTAATGAGCAGAAAACTAAATAAACCCAATGATCTATAATAGGGGTCAGCAATTCCTGGCACGTGTGCCAAGCATGGCACGTAAGGCCATTTTGCTTGGCATGCCACAGCCCATCCTGGCTCTGGGTAGCTGCTGCCAGCGATGGAGCCTAGGCTGCTCCCAGCAGGGCTTGCAGCATCCCAGCTGTCTGCTGGGAGCAGCCTGGGCTCCCGGCTGGCAACAGCTACCCAGACCCAGGGTTGGCTGCAGCCAAGAGGCTCCAAACAGCTGCGCCGGGCTCTGGAGCCTCGGCATCAACTCCGTATCAGCATGTGCAGGCGCACCTCGGAGTGGACAGTGGCAGAGGGGCCTGAGGCAACACAGCCCATCTTTCCCCCGCTCCCAGCACAGAGCTGGTGAATGGGCTCCAGAGCCCAGCACAGCTATTTGTAGCCAGCCTGGGCTCTGGGCAGCTGCAGTAAGCAGCAGGCAGACTGCAAACAGCTGCACCAGGCTCTGCAGCTCCAGCATCAGCTCCATGCTGGAGACAACTGCACGCACATTTCGGAGCAGACAGCGGGGCAGCACAGCCACCCCGAGGTATGTGTGCGGTTGCCACCAGCATGGAGCTGATGCCAGAACTGTGGAGCCTGGCGCAGCTGTTTGCAGCCTGCCTGCTGCTTGCTACAGCTGCCCAGAGCCCAGGCTGGCTACAACAGCTGCACCAGGCTTCGGAGCCCAGTCAGCAGCTCTGTACCGGGAGCGGGAGAGAGACCAGGGCTGTGCTACCTCAGGCCCCTCCCCCACTGCCCACTCTGATGCATGCTTGCATGCGCTGGCATGGAGCTGATGCTGGGGCTCTGGAGCCTGGCGCAGCTGGCCCTGGCTCTGGGTAGCTGCTGCCAGCCGGGAGCTGGGCTGCTCCGAACGGGCAGCTGGGACACTGGGAACAGCCTGGGCTCCAGCAGCTATCCAGAGCCGGGGTGGCTGCTGACAGTCACTGAGCCCGGGCTGAGGGGCAAGGAGCAGCAGGGCTGGGGGGGCAAGAGGCACAAGCAGGGCATCCTGCCATGTACCCCCTGCCCTCATTTTGTTTCTCCATCATGCCAGCACTCTGGCACCTTCCAAGGTAGGCATTGTGATGTTTTTCAGCATTCCAGGCAAAAAACATTGCCTACTCCGATCTATAATGTGTATATATATCCCATAAACCAAAACAATACATTATATATACAATAAAACAGGTTTTGCATAAATTTACAACTTTTGAACCCATCAATTTGTACTTGATTTTAACATGTAATCCTAAATATTAACTCTGTATACTTTTTATTTTATTATCAGAAAATAAAAGCGATACCTCACAAGGAACAGATAGTCAATGTCAAGGAAGGTGGCATGGTTTTCTAGCCTCTCAGCTTTCTTTAAAAGTAACATTTCACATAACTTTAAAACCACTGTCACACTAACCTTTTCCCACAGACTTCACAAATATATGGTTTTTCACCAGAGTGCCGGCGTAAATGAGTCTGTAGGTTACCTGCCTGTAAAGACAGAATGAAAGGTTTAAAGAAGCCACCTGCTTTATATAGATGAAAAAGCATAAAGGTGAGAATCCAGAAACTGCCTTTCAAGCCCAATTTTAAAATGTTTAAAACTCTGCATCATTGGAAATTAAAGCATTCGCTTAGTTGATCAAGGAATACTACAATATACAGTAAGAACAGCTTGTCTACCTAGGCAGCCATGCATTGACAATAACAGATTGTGAAAGACAGAAACAAATAAACCAAAAAGGGAACAGAAACCTAGACCCAACAATCTAGAAATCTGGATGTTGCTAGAATTGAGTATCTAGACCATCATCCAGCACTAGTCGGGAGGAGGCTTACTAGTAATTTGATTGGTCTTCGTCTCCTTTCTGTTGTCTATCCTACAAAAACTCTGTTACATCAATGATGTATGACTTCACCTACCAGGAAGCAAAGAAAAGAGTTGACTACTCACTCACTCATAAAACACTCATGCAGGGTACTCCAAATATGTGAAATGTTTACCTCCATAAAAAGGAGGACAAGAAAGAGAAGACTGAATAAACAAAACTATTGGCAATTTTTCCTTCTATATCTACTCTCTTCTTTGTTGTAAAAGTAATTCTGATGTAATAAAGAAAGCAGAGGCACCCATACAGAAGCATGCTTCTTGCTAATGACAACTCTTTTTAGTGAATATCAGAATGGCTTTGACCAGGTAATCCACTGGGACTCCAGCTCTTTGTACATGAGATACAGCTGCTATGGAGGAAAGAGCCCCAGACAGGATCCAGGAATGTTTTACATGCTCTCAGGCTCATTTATTATTACTTGGCACGTTCCTTGCAAATGACAGATTAAGCAATGATTTTGTTTTAATTTAACTTCATCGTGAAAGGAGGATCTCTATACAGAGGAACAATCTGGGAAAACTTGAGACATGTACATAAAAAAAAGGGCAGAATTGTTTTCATTCGTAACACAAACATGAAACTATATCTTTTCTATTGGGTGAAAGATTATAGGGTGCATAATTCTGCACAGTGACATCTAACCAATATTCTCCCTATACAAAGACCCCAGAAACTTGATCTTAAGGGGACCCCCCTTCTTACTCCTTCCTGGAGATTCTCAATCTTATCAGCTCCTCTGGGCAAAGTTTATATATATAATGATTAGGAAACTACCTAAATCATGGCACGCAAAAGGGGTTTTTTAGTGGCCTGCAGAGCTGATTTCATGGGCATTTCACAGCAGCCCTGCCCCCTGGTGCTGACTGGTGGAGATGCCCCACCTTCTCAGCACTGTTTGGTGGAGAGGCCTGGGGGGAAAGAGAGGACGGACACAGCCACCATCTTGTCTCCTGTTCTTTATGCTGCCCTGCCAGCTGGCACCTTCCCCTCCTAGCACTTTATTTTTGTTAGCTTTATTTTTATTAAGTTTTTTTTTGTTGATTTCAGAGAAAATCCTGGATTTCAGTTCCCTCAAAATTGCAAATTAAGTAGGTTCTTAATAATGAGGAGGGGTGAATAGAGTTTGACACTTAAGAATCAAATAACGAAGAGTGAGATGAACCCGATTACAATGAATCCACAGAGATGAAAAATGGCCATAGTACACTCTAAAAAACAGCCCACTTTTAACAACTTGGTAAAGTCTTTCAGAGAGAAATCAGGCTGAGCCATATACACAAGCCATAGACAGATCAAGAGTCAGGATGTTAAAATCTACAACACTCAATTCAACTAGGGAAAGGGACATATGCAGATGTCCCTAGAGTCCTTCCAGGTATAACTCAATCATATAGAATTGGAATTTGGGTGGAAGAAGGATGTCCATGCAGAGGCACAACCTGGGAAACTCAAGACATGTGCATCACAGAAAGGGCAGAACTGTTTTCATTTCAAAACAAATGGGAATACAGATTCATTCACATTTGAACTCTATTTTGGAATAAAGTGAGGTGTAAAAAATTTAAAGCACAACAGCTACCCTACAAAAAAACTCCCCAAATGGCTATGCTTACTCTCCAACAAGAGTGTCACACTTAGAGCTATGCATATCAAATTGCATATGAAATTTCCCACACAGACAATCTTATATACCAGCAATTCTCTACCAGGGTGCTGCAGCACTCTGGCACACCCAGAGATTAGTACTGTTAGGTCTGCAAACACAATTCACAAGATAAACTCAAAATTTCTAATAGGAATCCACAATATTAAAAACATTCTGCCTTGTGGTGGTCTTTCTGTGTTCTCTGCAACAGAAAAATTGCTCCATTATTTTTCTGTAATAAAAAATTGAGCTCAAACTCAGAGAGAGCATTTTTCAAGGAGTGACTTGAGTTTGATGAGGGGTGTGTCAGATCTAAAAAGGTTGAGAAGCACTATCATAGGCTTTTCCCCCTTGATGTGCCAGAACAGTTAACAATTTTGATACCATTGTTACTGGGATGCCTTGAAAGGCTCAAGTAGAAGTACGAAGGCATATCATTGCCATATCACTTTTAAGCACAGGGAGCAGGCCCAACTCTGAAAAGGAACGATATGCTTACTGGCTAAAAAGCCAACAGGTGGTAAAAAAACTGGCTGGCAAAATGGAAGAGATACTAAAGGACAAAGGGAGGACACTTCCAAGCCTTGCAGATCCTGGCAATATAGCATGTTGCACAAACTCAGAGGGAGAAGAGAACAGCTGATTTGAGCCTACTGAAAAACAAAGGAAACTAAGGCTGAAGTTGAATAATTTGGGAAGAGATGCACATATGCTGTCCAGAAGAACACAAACAACAGACATATGATGGTATCTGTGACTGTACGGAAGAGGAAGATCATGCAGGCCACAGCTGGTATATTGGTACCATGGAAAGGTAGGTACCAAATGCTATAAATGGGTGCCTTTTCCTCCAGAAATCAGTTACTGTAAGATAGGCTACCTTTGCTCAGCTGTTTCCTATGCCCAGTTCAATTTTTGGACATGACTGCAAGAACGTGTTCAACAGCATATGGGCTGAAGGCTGCAGAGAACTGACCAGTGGATAAAGCTTATATTTTATATTAAAAGCAAATACTAGTTTTTCTTGCTTCTTCCTTCTTGGTAGGTGAAGTCTTACAACAGATGATAATGCAGTGTAATTACAAGAAATGTGTACAGCAAGAGGAATTATGCCAGGAGTTTTGTTCTTTCACCCTTTATTTACCAGCATTCATCAGTTCATTAAAACCAAGAACAAAAGAATTTTAACCACTGCCTTTTTGAGTATCTTTGAGCTATTAACAAGGAAAGAAGGAGGAAGGTAAATTCCATGTTATAAATAGGAAACTAACTGTACCACTTGGGTTATATTTTGTGGCCTGCTTTTTGCAGGTCTGGATACCCTGTATTTTTATTTGCTTATCTGTATATTCAGGTAATGAAGGAGAGAAATACTGCTCAAAAGTATTAGTTTAAATACAAAGTGACAGAACTTTCACATTCTCTTCTCAACTAAAACAAAAATTAAAGTATTTGTTTAAAAAGTCCATTACATGGGTTAATGGCATAAAGAGAGCAATGTCTGTGATATGTTCTTCACAGCTTTATCTTCTCTTCCCTCAACTCACAGTGAATAACTTGAAACAGCCTTGCAAAATGCTGCTCCATTTACCTGAAGCAAGTAATATATTATGGTCAAGTAAAGCCATTTTTAATAGTCACCTTGGTCATGGTAAGGGCAGTAGAAGATTTTGTGTCTAGGCTCATACAACTTCCCCAACATCTTGTAAGCAGCTGTAAGTAGTTAGGCTGTCTTTGATGCAAGGAAGATCAGTCTTCAGCAAAAGAAAATATGTCTTCTTTGGTTGATGTATGCCCATCAACCAAAGATGGTGACTGGACAAGCATAACACAACAGTGTTGCTTACTGAAGTTACAGCTGGCCTTCAGACAGCAACTGAGAGAAGTCTAACCTAGCATAAAACATGCACCTAACACTTCTGTCTTCTTTCTCTCTCCTCCCCCATTTTTAGTGTATGTTTAAGTATCTCGTAGAAATATTAAGTATGTCTTTGTGACCAAGTTAAAAACAAAACATAGTACTTGCAGAAGGACAAATAATAAACTACAATGAATGGTAATGGGCTCAAATTTCCCCCTGATGTCTCCAATATTACTGGCATACTTTTGGAGACATGTAAACCCACCCTTTTAACAGGCTATCAGATTTACCTGAAAAGCAAGTGAAGTACCTCTTATGAGCAAATGAAAGTGAATCCAATAGTACCTGCAATATTGCAGCTTAAATCCTGGAAGACAAGCTAAGACTACCTAAACTCAGGGCCAGAGTATCATAAAGACATGTACTGGTAGTACTGCAGTAATTTTGTAGCTGTGATGGTCCAGGCATTATGTGAAAGGCTATTATTTTTGTGGATGGTATTTTTTAATGAACCAACTGCATGCATGTCACCCAAGCATGTCTCCCACACAAAATTTTGCCTCTTGCATACGGGAAAGGAAACATCTTCTGCTGTTCTTGTTAGATTGTACATTTAGAAATCCATTTCAATTTCATCTAGAAAAAGAAGCATCTCACACTACATTAATACGATTATCAGTTGTTTGTTTAGCATGTGTACCATTCTTCATTGCAACAGTTTTCTATTAAGGAATGCTGTAATGTATTACGGATATTATGAATAAATTATGCATTTGTCTAGGTGGTATCTGCATCTGCTTTGGATTATGTAAAAATAACAGTCTGCAAGAAGTCCAATTCTAATATGCCTCTAAACATAAGGTAAATTGTATCCCTATGAAGTAAATATATTTTAGGCCCTGTATTTCTATAATTTGAAGGTAAATATAATCTACAACTATGCTAAGAATATATATCTATATCTATCTATATAACCAAACACCCATTCGACAAGAAAAATACCCGGCAATTAGAGACAGGCTGAGTGGGAGAAGACAACATTGTTATATAAAAGATAAAAGAAAAGAGGCACAAAACATTTCAAGGAAATCTTAAAAACTGAAGTTTGTATTTTCAAAAAGATTGTGATTGGAAAATTGTCAACTCCTCAAGTGAAGACCATAACCTCGAGCAGTGACACCTCAAGGTTTGTATATTTTTTTAAACTGAAAATAGTTCAAGAATTGTTTTTAGAATCAAAAGACAGATGCAATTAGTTTTCAAGAAAGTGTAGATATCATAAAATAAAATATTCCCACCTGTGAGAAGTGTTTCCCACAAATGTTACATTCAAAAGGTTTCTCACCTAAAAGGAGAAGAGACAGAACAAAGCACTTCTAATAGTTGCAAAAGAATACAAATGTTTAAAATTGGTATGCTTCCCTTCAAAAGATATCACTTGAAGGCAAAGGCAGTCCCAAAGGGACATTTACCCATGTATTTTAAGGGAAAACTAAAGAGATAATGTTGCTGTCATTTACCTCTTAAAGGAAAATTGCTTTGAAAAAGAATTTATATTCCACAGAAGTAATTAACAAGAAGTGGATATAGAAAGAGCCATGTTTTATGACTTTCTTACCACTTTCTTCCTTGCAGAATAAGGGTGAGAGTTGGGAGAAGGTAGGGACTTTAAATGCTAGACAGGATTACCACACATTTCCAAGACAAAAATTAAGGTAAGCACATGAATTGTCCGACACACGTGTACTTAAGTTTATCCTAGCTAGTGCCTGGACTATAGACTGAAGGCAATGATTACAAATTCATTTCTGATTCTACTCATTTCTGAAAAGAAATTAAGTTACGCGTGCTTGTGAAGCCTAGTAATTTTCCTTTACCTAGTCATCTCAACTTTACACTTATTAAATAGGAAAAAGATGAATACAGTTGTTCAACTGTTAACAGCACTCTGTTAGGTGAATCTATACTGTTTTTGTTCTCTCCCGTACCCCCAAATACAGCTGAAAATTCTTTAATCCATGGCCCCAAAGCCCGTGTAATTGCAATTCTCTCAGACTGTTTTCATACCCTAAAATCAGAACAAAAGCCAGCAGGGGATACAGACAGCAAGCCCCCATGTATTCTGGCAAGTTTAGTCAAAATCCTGCTGTTCTCAGTATGGAAGATTAAAATTTTTTAGCAGTTTTAATGAACTTTAACAAAAAAATAAGCTTTTCTTTTTCTTTACTAAAGTAAGTATGAAAACAGATAACAGAATCCAAGAAGCCTTTGTGTTTTCCTGGCAATTACCTGACAGTACAACTATACTAAGATGACCAAGAGTAGGGAGCTGGAGGTTTTGTCAACCTGGAACAGATTTAAGAGCCAGAAAAGCACGGGGAGGAGGTGCAATGAGGAAAGATGAAGATAATAAACTGCAATTTCTGCTAAAAGGAAATAAGCTGAAATTAAAATTGTGTGCATTTGGGGACAGGGAACAGGATCCTCATTTCTCAGGACTATTGTTTTGGGTGATCATTTGCAATCTTACCTGTCTCATGAATCGCGGGTGTCAATGGTGGTTCTTAACCAAGAGCAGTTAGAGTAAAAACACCATTGACACCCACAATTCATGAGACAGGTAAGATTGCAAATTTTAGATCATCTATGCTCTCTATAGAATGAAGGTATTACCAGATCTAGCAGAGAATTTCTGCCTTGCAATTATTTACTTAACATCATGCTCTCAGTCTTTTCTAAACTGAGTTTCAGCTAACTCCCCACGTCCTAGTAAGAGAAAAGTGGAGACAACATTATACGGTTATGATGGAAAATAGACAAGAGCTGAGTGATGTATGCTGTGTGCCATGTTAATATATAGCTATATACAGATGTGTCATTTGAGGCAGTCCCAATTGATCCCAGTCAAAACCTGAGGGGAAAAAAAAGCAGCAGCGTACACATGTAGCCCTTCCAAGCTGCATTGCTGTCTACCTGACAGGCTTGTCCCTGGCATGAATAGCAGTTAACTTGATTGAGTCACAATTAGTTTACAGATATACATGAGTATTGTCCCAGGAAAAAAGTGTAAGTACCTGTGAAAAAGGTGCTCAAATAAAGATGATGAGATTGTACATCTGTAGGTTAAATTTGCTCTTAGTTAAGAGACCTTTATAAAGAAATAGTCTCTTTGGGGATATCCTTGATGACCAACTGGAATTGTGAGCTAATAAATTCAGATTATTTAGTGATAAAAGGCATGCTGAACATACTAGAACTGAACTTCATGCGCTGAAATGGCTATTTGTTCATGCATGCAATCGGTCAATCTCTCTGTACTATGACTGCCTAGGACGACAGGTGTTTTTTATGTGCCTTCTCAACAACCAGAATCAGCCCAAACACTTTTGTTTAACTGTTAAAGTTGACCTTGCTTGGTAAAAAGCAAGATATTCAAGGTGGAGGTTCTTTTAGTCTCAGGGTGCATACACATATTCAAATAATCTGAAAGAATCCTCTAGTTTTTTTCCTGGTAGAGGAACTGACCCAGAGCTGTGTGTACAGACATGTAAATGTGGAGGCCCTGAAAAACAGAGAGCTTGCAGTGCTGAATCTGTGCAGCCGAGGGCTCAAGGGGTGGGAGGCTGGTCCTGTGCACACATCTCAGTGCACTCTGTAGACTCCTTTGGTCTGCCTGGTGACAAATGGCAGCAGTGCACAGGGCAGTCTTGACTGGCTGATCTAGACCGCCCATGGTCAGCCTGTTTCCCTGCAGCACAACATGGGGACTATGAAGGGGGTGTGTTCTGCTTACTGGAACAGCAGAGTCCAAGAAGCAACACACTGCCTCTGAGTGCTTGTGGGGGGGGAGGGGATGCTGAGGGACCATGTTCTCTTCTGAGAGAAGCCACAGCATGGACACTTGCTATTATTCCAGGAGAAACTCTCCAGGGACTGATTTAACCCTGGTTGTTCCCAAGTTGTGAGCAGGATGCTCCACAACTTCAGCAATAGGGTATGATCAATATGCATAGTCATGCTAGAGGGCAAGCAGGTACATGTGCATGCTGCCCATACACAAAAATTGGTTGTTTATCTCAGTTCCTATTTGTTAAGTAATCTTTTCAGAAAACATTTATCAAACTTTCACTTTGATGCTGGTAAATACTCTCTTCCTTTGCATACCTGTTTAAAAACACACCCTATTGCTTTGGCTACCCCCACATTTGTGCCTTGTGCCTAAACCAATTGGCACGGTATTGTAGTACTATTTTCTACCCCAAAACTGTCACACCACTAACTTAAATTGGACATAGAAGCACAGGAGTGCCACAATGTACTTCCCACTGTCCTACTGCACCTATGGTGCCACAGGAGCCTACAATAGGATTCTAAATCAACCACAAAAACAGAGCAACCTCTGAATTTCACTCTTTGGTAGAATAATGTTATGTGAGAGCACAATGCTTCTATGTATTATTAGTTTGCAAAACAAGAATTGGAGGAGTTTGACTTATGAAAAGAACTGGAGATTCCATTCCTCAACCGAAACTCAACCTAGTAAATTAGCAGGGTACAGGACAGCACCCCAAAAAAAGAAAACTAACAGGATCAGTCTCACTAATGTTCTGCACAGTCAAAATGAATGTGTGTTCAACTGGAGAAGTAAACTGGACTATTGATCAAAATGGGACTGTGCATAAATATATGTATTTCAAATAAGACTAGAACATGAAAGCCGTCATAAACTTAAGCAACCATGTAAAGTAATTGCAGCCCTTATACTAGTGTATATCATTTGGTTTTCCCTGGTTGCATTATGTATGAAATTATATTGTAAAAATTAAATTGCAAGATACCTGAATCAGGGGCATATTTTGTTTCTTGTACTATGCATTTTGCACAACTACAGCCTTATACCAATATATTCCATGGAGTATAGCGTTCACAATAATCTTATTAATTAAATTGTCTATTACACTGTAGACACCTATAAAAGGCAAATATAGTATTCATATGACATCACTGTAAAAAAGTGGCAACAATATTATATATGACTACTCAACAGTACTCATAGAAAAGGTGAGGACTTTCAGGGGTTGATATGGGTTGGGGCAGGAATTAAACAAAACAAAAAAAGTTTCAGGGCCTAGAAGGATTGCTCACTAATCATCTTAGTGACAAAATAACATATTAAAGAAATGAACGCCACCTAATACAATACCCACATTCATTCTGAATGTGCAAAAATGCATATTTTCTCATCAGTTAGTATTACCTTTCAAAATCAACACCTGCGTATATGAAAATTGTTATTTGCCATTAGAATCCAACATGAATCTAACATGAAAGGGAAAGCGAGAGAGCCAGAAGCCCAATGAAAAAGTTCTCAAGCAATTTTATTGTAGCCCTACAGTTTTGTGTACTGGTTACAATGACTATTCATAACAACAATGAACTAATTCGGTTGGATTTATTTTTCTACTTTACAAAAAAAAAAAGCAAATAGCACTGTTTTTAGAAACCAATCTGTGCAAGACTTAAAAACCAGACTACCTAAATGATTTTTTTTAAATTACAAGTTAAATTATTCAAAACTTTTTTCTTTACAAAATGTATTTGTCCATGCAAGTCAGATTCTGCACTAGCCCTCTAGAGAGAGACTATAAGTTAATTACAACATACACTTTGCAGTTAGAACAATACAGTTCCAATCCCATGTCATGTCCTTAACCGTGTGAAATACTATAGAAAGAGAAACAACTCCTGCAATTTAGTCACAAATGTTTCCTCATCCATCTCCATGTTAGTGCCTTTATTTCTATCCATCCTTGCCTTTTCTGATTGTATACTTAGTCCTTACATGCCCCTGGCTGTATGAAGAGTTTCTCCTTTAAAACACAAGGCGAAGTTACAAAGTTTCATGAAAATATTAGCCAATGTGCTTTCGTAGGAAACCTTTAGAAACCAAAACAAGCGAAAACACTCCAATAAAGAAAAAATTCTAAGTTCAATTTAACTGATTATAGTCTTACTGCTGCCCTTGTCCTTCCATGGCTAGGCATAAAAAAATATTTTTCTAAGTGAATTCCTATGAAACAAGAGTCTTTCAAACTAAGAGGTAGTCTGGATGTCACTTTCCTTTTTTCTTTAATCTATAATTAAATATTTGGTTTACAGACATTAAAACAACTGTACCTGTATGAGACCTTTTATGGAGCTCCAAATTGCTTGGATGTTTGAAAGCCTTTCCACATAATTCACAAGAATACTGCCTTTGCGACTGAAGAATCTGTGACTGTTCTTCTTGTTCTGAAGGACCCTGAGCTCTTTCCATTTCAACGGGTTGTTCAAAACTCTCTGAATTAACTAGAACTTCAGTTTCTTTTTCTGCCACAGCACTGATATTTGCCATCCCCATGGCATTTTCATTTTCAGATTCAATTGCCTTTGGTTTACCACTTTCATCACTTTTAGGCTCAGATGATTGCTCTGCAGACTTTTGTGATCTTAAGAAGTTTAGTTTTTTAAGATGAATTGCCTTCTTCAGACGCATCTGTTTAGTAGGCTGCAAGGATGTGCTTTCTGAACCCGGATCAGGAACAGATTCATTCAAGGACTGGACCAGAAAGTTTGATGGCAAGTGATCAGAAGACTCCAGAATACATTCAGAGTGACTAACAGTACAAGAATTGCTCTCCACTGCATTTATTTCTGTAGATGCATTAATTTCTGTAGACGCATTGAAAGCAAAAGATGATTCCGTTATTCTCTCATGGTTAGAGCAAGCATTCTGTTTGTAGAACTGTTTGCTATAAAAGTTCCGCAGTTTATAGTAGTAATTTGGCTGTTTAAATGGAAGCTCTGTGCAATTACCATCTAATGAGTCCTGCGGCTGTTTTTGTACATCACCTGAGGGTGTATGAAGATTAAGAGATTGTGATCCATGGGAAGGATGGTCGTCTAAGACTTTGCTAGTTTGTGCATCCGAGGAGCATTCATGCAACAAGGTAGCTCCGTAAGTATCATTCATACAGTTAGTATCTGTAGCCAAAGTACTTTGCAAAGCAAATACATTATTACAAGGCATGTTGGCTTGCTGTTCTACAGCTGTTGAGGATTTTAAAAAAGTGTGGCAAATGTTCAGCACATTTTGTACCTGAAGACATTGTGCAATATCCAGCATAGCTTGTACATTGTCCTGGCTAAGATCAAGGTGAGAAGTGTACATGAAGTCCAAAATCTGGCCTATGCCACCTACATTTTTAATATCCAAGTGAAAGACATCATTCTTCTGGCCTGAAGAATTCTGAAAAAGGGTCCTAACAAAGCAATGCATAATTCTTTATAATGTACAGACACACAAACTGCTAGATTACAAAAGCTTTTATTTAAAAAATTGAACACACCAGCTAATATCCCAAACCGATATGATTTGGTAATTCAACATGCAGTACAGAACCAAGTCACCAGCACTATAGTAGTATAAAGGAGGATTAAGCAGATGTGGAGTGGTTTTCAGAACTCTACTCTCTTTAAAGTAAATGGAAGTTTTAACACAACTGCTGTGGAAGATGTTAACTTGTTACTTCTGAATATCCCACCCAGCCTTATAATTACCTCTCTCTCATACTTAGAACATTGGCCTGATTATTGTGTTGATGGATTATCCCTGGTGCTGGGTAGACTCTAGGGCTGTGCAAAGCTTCGGTCCCCAATTCAATTTGGCTGAGATTCGGCCCGATTCAGTGGCCGAATCTCCAAATCCGAATCAAATCAGAAGATCCTTTAATCTCTCTGAATCAAATCAGAACGTTTTGAATCGATTTGGAGAGATTCAGAAAGATTCAGACATAGACGCAGCTTTACATGTTTTGTCTATGTACCTCGAGGTACCTCGAGGCTCATAAATGCTGCAATGCTGGGGCGGATGGAGTGTCCCACAGGAGTGCAGGAGTCTCCCCAGCACGCTCAGCAGCAGACCCAGAAGTGGACCAGAAGCACTTCTGGTCCACTTCCAGGTCCACCAGGGAGTGCACAGGGGGGCCCCTTCTCGTGCCCCTCCAGCTCGGCAACTGGTGCCCCCTGGGGCTGGGGGGGCACCTGAGGTCCCCCCATGGCCAATAGATAAGTGAGGGGGTACTGGGGACGCCCCCCATGGACCCAGAAATGGACCGGAACTACTTCCGGTCCACTTCCGGGTTCACCACTGAGCATGCAGGGGGTCCCCCTGCACTCCTGTGGGATGCTCCATCTGCCCCACCATCACAGCATTGACGAACCGTGTCTGGTACCTTGAGGTATGTAAGCTGTGTCTACGGCCAAATCTTCACATACAGCCAAATCGAATCGGGGACAGTGAATAAAGTAGGTTATAGATCTAAAACACTACTACAAAAGAGTGATAAACAGAGCCCACTTTATTAAGAATGCTAGCATGTTACCCTTCAAAGGAACTGACTGAGCTTCTCCATCACACACTCCCAACGAACCTTACTGAAACTTACCCTGCTTCGGTCATTCCCTTGTCTACCTGACAATTTTTTTTTCAAGTTCTGGCCACATCTATGGGCTGTGCATCATTTTATTGCATAAGACTAGATCTCATAAAGAATTTAGGAGCCTCAGTTCTGTTTAAGTCAAGCACTATGATCCAAAAATCCCCATTTATCTGCTCCTAATCTCACTGGACACCTCTCAAACATTCTGCTTCTGTGGCTGTACAAAATAGCCCCAGTCTGAGCAGCCTCCCATCTAAACTCTATGGGGATCCAGGAACTAGGCTTCCCACTGTCTGAATCCAGTTTAGTCTGGCATGCTCCAAGAACACCTACCAGAATATGGTCCCTTATCAAATGCAGTTGTAACCACTTTCTTATAAAACACAGCCAAAGGAGAAAAAGGAGTTGATACTGCCTGCTTTGTGAAGTAGCCTAGTACAGGGGTGTCAAAGATACAGCCCACTGGCTGAATCCAGTGCACAGAACCCTGTCGTTTGGCCCACAGTGTTGCCTATGGGTCTTAAATTGGACTTGTACACCACATGTGGCACATGTCAGACCAGCCCTGTGCGCCAACAGGGCCTCATGAATTTGACACCCCTGGCCTAGTAGTTACAATACTCACGCAGGAAGCAGAGAACAGACTTCAGCGCCTTCAGTTGTGAGGTAGTTTAAACCCATGCCCCTCTCTCCAGTAGCCTGATGGTTAGGACACTGTCATAGGAGGTAGGAGTACTGGATTTAAAGCATGGGCTAGGCCAGTCTCCTGGAGATGGGAGATGTGGGTTTGAGCCCTCTTAAGTTGAAGAAGGCATTGAACCTAAGTTTTCCACTTCCTTGGAAAGAGTTTGAATCATTAAGTGATACCATTGTAGGGTTTCACTACAATCACCATTTTCTTCTCTAGCAACTGCATTTTAAAAACAAAACAGTGAATATTTTTCAGTTCCTTGAAAAAACATTTGTGTTTACCCTCAGAAGAGTGTTCTGGACTCTGAATTACAAACAGATGGAGGCACCTACCTGGAGCACTTAACAAGTGGTTAGGCTCTGGAGAGGGGCAGGGCTTCATAATGCGCCCATTCAAAACGTCTTCTATTCACTAGCTCTGGCTAACTCCCAGATACTGCAGGGTTTCTTTGGATGACTGCAAAGGCATTAACTCTCCCTGTGCACTGTATAGAAACCAGGCACCTAACTAAGGGTTCTAGAATAGTCTGGGGGCCAGGCAGCCATAAAGTTAGGTACCGTGGTGCCTAAATCCTGTTAGGTCTAATCCACACTGCCTAAGTTTATTGCAAATATTTTTCATTTATCTGGGCTAGTGTTTTGAAAATTGGCTAAAGGAAAAAGATATCTAAGTCCCATTGCATTTCAAAATGGGATGGATGCCTAACTCCTTTCAACTCCCAATGGAAAGGAGGGGTCCTCACTAAGGAGGACTATTCTGCAGTTGCTCAG